CTGAATTCATGACACAGAACCAGATTGTATATGCATCTAGTCACTTGCAGTTTCAGTTGTTTGTACGCTTACTAGAATGGTTTCTTGTAGAAACACTGAAAATAAAGTTTTTATTTATAAGAGCCTTTTGCAAGTGCTTGACGAAGTAATTGTTCAGGGACTTTTCAGTTGAGGGAAAGCCAAAAGATCTTTTTGAAAGGTCCAGTACTAATTCATGTCAAAATCTTGTAAAACGAAAAACATTCCTTGCTACTAACTTCAAGGGGAGGACTTTAATGGTCTGTGCCTTGCCATAAATGCTGTATTATTGCCAGGTGTAGAATTTGAAGCAAAAAGCTGTTTAACCAGCAAGTAAATCAGCGCATTTGATGCTTGGCTGTTGTCTTTGCTTTCCAGAACACTTCTGCAGCAGTTGCAGAGACTTCAAGCCATGGTTGCTGGGAAAGTGTCCCGTTCATGTAAGGCAGCTAGCACACAGACAGGGACCTGTCTTATGGTGAGTGTCCCTAAAGCTGGGAATTGTAGGGGAGTGAGAATCTCTTTCCACTGCTCAAAGGCACATCCCTTGTTCTGCGAAGCCCTTCACTTGCAAATTCTCAGCTTGGGAAAATTCTCTCCAAAATTTGACAATTAATTTTGAGGTAGGTGAGACTCCTGGCTGATGAAGATTAATAGTTGTGGGAAGGCATTAAATTCTGGAGGAGACTGGGCCTGTGGTTTTAATTGGATCCTCTCCTCTGGAGAGGGAGGATCCACTTTGGATCCGTTTAATTGGATCTGCTCCTCTGAGTGACCTGTTTTATTATTTCCTACATTAGTGTATGTGAGAAGTGATGTCTAGAGTTGTAAAATGAAAACAAGGGTGACCTTTGAAGACGGGTTCTTTTGATACCAGTAAAAATAACTTCCTTATCCAAATAAAAATATGACTAAGGCTGTAAATCTGCCTGTGGCCTATTTCAGTAATAGTAGTCAGGATACGAAAAGGATGAAAATTAAACTTTTCCCTTTTCCCTCCTTACACTCAGCCAGTGAGTTCCCTATATACTAGTGCTATAAACTGATGGAAATGATTTTCAAGGCCTAAGTTGTCCTCTTAGTCTGCCAGCCTGTCTGTCACATCGAAGCAAGACTGGGGCCAGCAGCACAAATAACCTTGGAAACTCCCAACAGCGTCTGTAAAACACACAGGGTGGTTGTATCTGCTTTTCAACTTTGGGAGTAAATAAGGCTACAAGCCAAAATGGTGGCAGACAACGAAAACAAACTCCAGTGTTGAAATCTGCCCTTTAAAACACAGAATTGTTACTGTATATATGTGCCTTTGCTAAGAGACACTGCATGTAGTGATGAAAATACCCTCAAATGATTTGTTTTGAAAAAGTATCAGATCCGCTTTGTGTTGATTCTTAGTTTCAATGTGTGTATGTGGGCCAAGAGCTAGTGCACTTACCTCTTCTGCATCCTCCCTTTGCCAGATGGTGGTGCTGTGCTTTGCAGTAGTTTTTGGCAGCTTCTCTCAGAGCTACGGGCCATATCCTTCTGCTACAAAGATGGTGTTGCCCAGGCAGCATTCCTCGCCAGAGTCCTACACAGACTCCATTGGTAAGTGACAACTATCCCAGTCTTGCTTCCTGCTTGGTTGTACACTTCAGCACTTGTTTTCCACCCCCATCCCTAACCTCACCTCAGGCACCTCTTGCTTTTCTGCTTCTTAGCGGGCCATTCCTTGATATACCTGTGTCTTTCAAAGGATAGCTTGTCAAGCTGTTCTGATGGCGGAAGACTTCATAGACAAGGGCAAAGCCTTTCCCCACTAGCCTGCTTCGTATTTCTGTTTAAAGCAGTTTTGTTTCTGTTTGTGGAACTAAAGCTAGTGGTCTGTAGCAGGATTTCTACTTGGCAGCAAATGTTCATACTGTTACAACACGCAACTGATATCAGCTGGTGTGTCCTTTGCCAGTGTCAACAAAGAGTCCAAGGATTGAGTGGGAAACTGTTAGTATTATATACCCATAAAGAACCAGTTGCTTCCAATGTATATTATCAAAGTGATTGTTTCATTTTGTTCTTGTTTTGTGAATAAATCAGAGCTTTTTTGATCCCTACCTGGACCATTGCTGTGGTATCTTTCCTCAGCTATGAAATTACCAGTTAATCACTATGAAAAGACAAGACCTTAGCAGCTTTAGTTCTGCTCTGATGGTTTGGTTTCCATTTCCTGAAATGACCGGGGCTGTTCTCTGAGCTGTCTCTTTCTCATCTCTTTATGCCTTCTGTCTTTGTATGCAGTGAGGTCAAGGAGTCTGCTAATTTATGAAGAGCCTCACCAACTGGAGGAGTCGTCAAGCCCAATCTCCTTTGCAGATCGCAATGACGGGCAAGGAGACACCTCCAAGTACACAGCGCTGTCCCTGGAAGCCATGCCAGGGACACAGCAGGATGATATCATGCAGTTCACAATAGCCAACGAGACGAGGCTAGAGAAATCGGTGCTGCTGGGCCTGCAGCAGCACAGGTGAGTGCAGGGTGGGCTGCTTGTCATAGGGGTGTTCGGCTTCAGTGTCATTTGTGCTTGGAGGCCAGCAGTAAGGCTAGGGGCTTAGCTATGCTGGGCACTGTGAAACATGAAGTTAAGAGTTTCGTGTCTATCTGGAGAGCTTATAGGCAAAGTTATTGTTACTCTGGAGAAGCGGTTGCAGCAATATTGTAGTAATACAGCTACCAAACTCAGTGCTTCTGCCAGAAACCTAACCCCTGTAAACCTGTTAGTTGTGCCTGCCCACTTCTTTAAGCACTTCTGTGTCTCCTAAAAGAATAAGCTTTTGCCAGTTGGGTGGAAGTGTGAGGCTGTGACTCACTGGGCTTTCTATGAGGTTAGGGTGTGAAGAGCTGGAGCTTCTCGCAGCAGTGATCTTACTAAAGCATTACTGTGGAAAGTTTGCCGGACTCAGTTTTACGAGACAGACCTGTAAAGTTATCTGAACTACTTAATACAGAGGTCCTTTGTAATTTATTTTTTTAGCATAAATGTAAGTTTTTGGGGCCTCTGCAAAGAGCGGGATTCACTGGTTTAAATATGTATGTGCAGTTTTCTTTCCGCTCTATCTTTTCTTGTCCTGCCACTGTCCTGTTGGCCCAGGTCTTGGTTTCTGCAAAGAAGCAGTAGCGAGCACACCAAACAGTAGAGAGAGGGATTTTGTTTGGAAGCATGCTATTCTGAGGGCTAGGGTGAGCCATATCACCCCAAGCATGCCTTCTGAGCACTTGTGTCAAAGTTATACCTAGAGCCAGAGAGATGACTAATTCAGTGTGTTACCATACTCCAACTGACAAGTACCTGGTAAATACTGAGTGCCTTTTCAGCATTAGCCAATTCAAGCAGGTTATGTGCTTTTAAAAATGACTAACTATTAGCGTTAACCTTTGTTTTGGTTTTTTTGTTCCCTGCAGAGTCAACTCCGAACTAGAAGGAAATGAAACACTGAAGATAATTGAAATAGATAGAAGAGTCAATGCCACCTCTTAAAAATAAAAAAGGCCTTTTTTCTTGACTTCCCTCTTTCCCACATATTTTCAACCAAAGTCCCCCTGACTTGTCATCCTCAGTGAACCAAAGCACAAAAGAGAGGGAGTTCAACTTCTGCATTGACTCGCGAGGCTGTGACTGCAGATGGGATCTCTTGTCTTTGTAACTCCCTTCCTTACTTCACACACAGTTCCTGTCTTTGCTTTTATTCCTTTCCTGTCTGATACTGCAAGGGCAGGATTGAATTATGATGGCAGATGATGCCAGCAATGTGCCGGCGACTGGTGGGTGTGTGTGCGTGCATGCATTCATCCTAATCTGAGCACAAAGACGTTATGTAGAAGAGTGGAATATGCAAAACTGATGGGAGCATGTGGGTGATAGGTTTCTTGGGAGAGGGAATTGAGAGAAAGAGGAGATGTAGCATAATGCTGCTCAGAATCTAGCCACAGCTCCGTGCCTGCTGGTCTACAGCACTTGAGCCTTTTGGGGGGGATTGAGAAGCATGTTGTGTAGTCTGCTTCTGAAGGGACAAGAATGGGCCCTGATACTGTTGAGTTAACAGCACAGACAGGAGAGGGGTGGGCAATGATGCTGCTGAATTGCCCTCCCCTAGCTCTTTCTCTCTTCTCCTCTCCAGCCCCTTTATCGTTTAGTGGGGTAGATTTCTCTCTGGGTTGAAAGCAGGCCTAGTAGGCTTCCCTACTGCTTCCACCCTTGTGGAATTCAAGTAAAGATCAGTGCCTGTCTTGTCACACTTTATCTGTGTGGGAGAATTATACTAGTTTAACTAAATCTGTTTAGAAAGCAGGTTTTGTTAAATTCATGCAATGTTTTGGATGGATGTCCTTTAGTCTGCTTAAGGCTAATCTGTTTAGCTTAAATCAGTTCCTTCCCAAGAAACTAAATCAATGTAAAGCTTAAACCAGAAGTGCCTCCTGAGAGGACTGTATGGATTTAATTTATTGGCTTCTAGGTGCGTTGATGGAATTTCTTATGTAGACCCGGTCTCACATTGTCCTGTGTTTTCCTTTCCTTGCCATGTTCCTGTTACTGTTGTAAATAGTATTTATTAGCTTCATAAAATTTTGTTCAAGCAGTTGCAATGAAGAGAATTGAGCTTCCCTAACCCTGCAAGTGTTCTGGGCAAACTCTCACATCGGACATACAAATATACTGAACACCCATTCCTTTCCCCCAAACTTGAATTGCCCTAAAATAAAGCCATGGGTCTTATCTTCCTCTTACCTCCTTTTCCAGAGATGTGATCTTAGACCAACTGCTTAGCCGAAAAGATAAGGGGTATAGGTAGACCCAGCTAGGTACAGTTCAGGCCTGGAGGTGGTAGATACAGTATTAACTGTAAGGCAAGACAGCCCCTGACCTGAGGAATTAAGTATGTAGGCAGCAGACAAAGGAAAAGAGGGATGAGATGGGTGTGTAGGAAGGTGAAGCAACTGGCCCAAGTTCAGTGGAAAAGCCAAGAGCTTCAGGTCTGATCCTGGTCCAGTGCTCTTCTCCCTGCTTTGTTTCCTCCTTGTCCCGTGTAGCTGTTGCCTTTAAGGGTTTTCCCTCTTTCGGTACCCTGGTCATGCCTTTGTCCGAGCTGTGCTTCTTGCAGTTTGTCCTTGGTGTGGCACAGTCAAACCTATCCCAGGATTTGAGCAGGGTTTTGTCTGGTTACTACAGAAGGGCGCTGAGACTCCAGTGAGGATGGATTTAATGTGAAAATCCTAATTCAGCAGGCTAGCATATACTTTACAGTTTACCAGAAGAAGTCAATTAAAAAAAACCCCAAAAAACCAAAAAACATTTTGAAGCTTTTTTCTTTTTTTCCCTAATGATAAATAAGGGAAAAACTAACTTAGACTTACAAGTAATTTTTTACCGTGTACAGTAGATATTTCCTGCAAGTATTCTATTTTGTAAAATACTGGTTTTGTATTTTATTACAGCAGCTGCCACACCAGCTCCTTTCTTGTTCTTCATTCTCCTTAGACTTGCTTCCTTCAGTATCCTATTTTGCCACCTCAGGCCTGACTCAAAACTCTGTGAAATTAATGGAAAGAATCTGGTGGGTTACAGAAGGCTGTGGATCAGTCCCCACTGTGCCATTTTAAGAAGGTGTTTCACGTAAGTGACAGTGAAACACATACCAACTTCATGAAGTTGTAATGAGTTTTGGTGTACAGATGGGCTTTCTGTGTAATGCCCTATTCTTCTATGCAAGTGCCTTTTTATTATTTTACCTTTGGTGGCAATGAGAGGAGAAATGCCAATTGTAGTCTATTTTGTAAGTGTTCCTCTCTTCTTGGCATGGGTCAGTCTCCTCC